GGTGTGGTGTAGTTGGGGGGGCTCTTCCAGAAGGAGAAGAGGGGGTGGAGCTACCAGAAGTCTATGGATATTGGACAGCAAATGCACCAGATGTCCATGCACTTGCTTCCCCCTGTAGAAGGAGGAGCCCAGCCCTCCCCCTTCACCCTGCAGGGACACTCATGTCTCACTGGCTCTGGCCTGCTCATTCAGGCACAGCTGGATTGCAGCTACTATCTCTACAAATCAATCTGACTCCCAAATGGGGGAGTTAGAATGCACACACCCACAGGACCAGGCTTGGGAGGAGGCTGTGGTTAATGCTGTTTGTGGCCATTAGGAAGAACTGAGTCTGGTTCCCAGTGTCCTTGGGGTCTGGGCAGGCACAGAAGGCTTCAGGGTCAAAGGACAGATGGCAGGAAAAAGGACGGACTCATGGGATAACGAACGATTGGGTCATCCAGAGAGACCTCCCTGGAGAATGGCTCAGAAAGCCTGGGGCCTTTTTTGTTATCTCCCCAACTGGCCTCTTTGAAAGGGCAAAGTTCGGCAAAGTTAATCTTTGTTGGCAAAGTCAAATACAAATGAGCAGCTTAAGGTCCAGTCTGTCTCCAGAGCATGAGAAATGGACTACCCAGTGGCCAGATTACCAAAGTCCCGAGTGCAAGCTGTTTTCCATCCATGATTTCTGATTTCCATTTTATATTCTGCCCGCAAGCCTGCATGCCCTCATTCAATGTCAGTCACTGAGACATAAATTCCGAGGCCTCCATCTTCCTACCCATCATGGCACAGCCCTTCACTCACCATTCATTTATCACTCCTCCCATCCCTCCCCGTCCAGATCTATGTGATTACTCGATTACTGCCTTCAAGTATCAGAATTTCCGCCAGCAAGTCTGGCTCTTGAGGGATCCACATGTTATTAAATCCACATATTCCTGAGTTTCAGACAGCAAATGGTGGGAGTTCAGAGAGTGAGGGATTCATCCAAAAACTGAGTGGAAGCCAGCTGGTCCCCAACGTGGGATGGCGGTGTCTGGGGAGAGAGAGAGTCTGGGAGAAGGATCACCTGTGCTGATCGCTTACTCGGTACCCGCTTCAGGGCTCTTAACCCTGCAGACATGGGATGGCTGGAATTTAAATATCACAGCAACAAAGGAAAGACACAGCGAGAGGCCCTTCCAGCAGTCTGTGCCCTTCTTCATGGTTCTCATGTGTGATTACGTCCACATCGTGCATTGTTAAGTCAGGACAGGGATCTCATCAGGGCTGCTCCCACCAGGTCCTCCAAGCCGAATGCTGTGCCTGGAGCATAGTAGGTGCTCAGCAAATACATAATGAATGAATGAATGAATGAACGAACGAATGGGCGATTATAAACCTCAGATGTACGGTGCCTTGAATCAGTAGGGTTCTGTCTCAGATTCCCTGTTTTGAGGAAGTAGAACACAAAGCAGCTAGGTTACAGCCAGCTCTGGTCACCTCCACGCCCAGAGAAAACCTCCCAGCTTGGAATGCTTCACACCAGAGGAAGTGAGCGAGTCCACAGCAAAGGACGTCCTGTAACACTGTAAACTGACAAAGCCCTGGGCTGGCAGATGACACTTCCAGCTCCCTCCCTGGTCCCTGGAGGTTTCCCAGATGCTGCTGGGTCAGCAAGTCAAACGTACTCCGTTTGTATGTGGTATCATGCATTTCAACCACTCCCTTGTGAGTTGTTCTGGCCTCAATCTTAGACCATAAAACCACTGGTGACTGAGGTGGTACCTGCTCCGTAGTACACGCCCCGCCCCGTCCCTTGCCATCCAGACTGGGCCCCCAGGCCAGGGAACTGCAACATTTTCTGCCTCCAGCAGATCTGATGGATGTGATGCTCAACCCATTGTATGAGGCTGGAGGTGGAGGGAGTGGGCCAATCCCCGCACCCCCCCCC